ATTGCCTTTTCATCAAATAAACACAAAAATCTTGAGCTAAATGTCATTTTAGGGAATCCCTTATAAAAATCAGCAATATATGCTATCCTTCAAAAATATCTGCAATATATTATATAATATATATGTGTATATATATAATATATTCTATACCTCATTTAATCTAAAATGGCTAGTTAGTTGGGTACCATGATATATGCCTATAATCATGATTCAAGAGATTAAGACAGGAAGATTGCAAGTTCAAGGCCAGCCTTAGCAAATTTAGTAGCCCTAAGCAACTTAGCCAAGACCCTGTCTGAAAAAAGAAAGCAAAAAGGGTTAGAAATATAGTTCAATGGTACAGTGCTCCTGAGCTCAATTCTCAGAACTAAATAAATAAGTAAATACATGGACGGTTTAAGACTGCTTAATAGATCCTTTCTTATCTCCATCAGTGTTACGATGAGTACTTGTGAATTCTTAGTTCATAATTCACAGACATCCTCCCCACTGAATACCCCCCCTAAAAACTTGGTAGATTTTGCTATTCCAAGACACATCTAAAAATCATAAGATCTGGACTGGGGGATATAGCTCAATTGATAGAGTGCATGCCTTATATGCACAAGGCCTCAGGTTCGATCCTCAGCACCACCAAAAAAAAAAAAAAAAAAAAAAATCTTAAGATCTGCTACATATAATAAGCCAATCTCTCATATTCTGCTTGTGGTTATGATCACCTAATTATTTTCCCTTATTTGCTGCATGAAGCTGGATAACATCCCTCCTAAAACTGCAAAGGAAGTCAAGTAATGTATTAGGAAGAGGAAATGACACAGGTTACCAGATGAGACTAAATCAACATCAAAGGCACCAATATCAAGGCCAGCATGGCAGTAAAGCCACCTGCATCCTTCAAATAGGCCAACAGATGAGAGAAACATGTCAAAATGCTCAGTTCCCATGCACCATCTGGGCAGGTTTCCACAAATGTCATAGTAACTTCATGGCTAAGTTTAATTCAAATAAAACATAGAAGCCTAAAATGGAAATAAAATGTTAACTATCAATTATATCTCCTCTCACCTTTGAGAAAATATAGTTTAATTGCTTTGGACAAAGGAGATAAAGAATAACCAACATTTCTTTTTAAAAATGTAAAACAATGTCAACCTTTTGTCTAAAAATCTACAGAATAATTTCATAATGTTCAGCCTCATGCTAAATAAAATACAGTTGCCAGCTTATCACAAAGTTATTGATTTCATGACATCTCAAAGGGGTTTCTCTGTTCTGCTGTACTATAAAACAACTGTAATTTTAACACAAAAGGAGATATCCCAGATTTTCATGTTTCCATCACTACTTTGATTCCATAGTAATCAGGATTTGTTGATTGCATTGTTAATGTGATAAACTTGCTATGTGGCATGATTTATATATGGTTTGTCCCAAAAAAGGCGTGTGTGCTGGAAGCTTGGTCCTCAGTGTGACAGTGTTAGGTGATATAACAGTTAAAAGGACTTAGTGAGAGGTAATGAAGTCAATGGGGACATCATCCTCAGAATAAATTAATGTAGGTCTCATGGGACCCCAATTAGTTTCCAAGTGGGTTGTTGTAAAAAGAACTAGACTGACCCTTCCCCAGTCTCTGGGTTCCTGTCTCACCATAGGATTGCCTCTTCATGAAGCTATTTCCCCTCCTTTAGGCTTTTCCACCACGTTATGACATAGCCATGAGGGCATTTACCAGAGGCTGAACAAATGTGCTGCCCAACCTTGGACTTTCAGCCTCCAAAACCATAAACAAAATAAGCCTCACTTCTTTATAAAGTACCCAGTCTCTGGTATATTGTTACAGCAACAGAAAACAAACTGCTATGTCTTGTCTTTCTAACTGCAATTAAACAATCTTGAAAACAGCAGGCTGTATTAAGATTTACCACTCTGGCTTATTCCACCAAGAAACAAATTCTTAAGTATGTAAAATGACAATCTGTTTTTAAGACATCATTTGAAATACTATACTCAAAGAAACTGTTATGGAGTAAATCACCTCACATTTCGGCTCTAAATCCAAACTACAAGCATTTGTCAATACGATCTCTTTACGATCCTCCATTTCACTGCATACCTATGGGGCTTGGTTGGATGTCACCTTTCTTGCTCTGTTGCTACTGAATCCCCTTTCCTGTGGTTGTCTCTATATTTTCCAGACTTTTTACAAAGTAAATCTTCCACTTTCCTATTATATCAGACAACCTCATGATATTTACTACTCATTTTCCCTCTGAAATAACAATGAATTTGTAAGCTGTTTGACAATGCTATCTATCTGTATTTGTCAACTTAGGTGTCTTGTTCATCAGGATTAATTAGCCAGAAAAAAAGGCTTTTAAAGGGGATGGAGAAGGAGACATGAGCATTAACAGCATTTTCAGTTTCATGCTCTTCGGTCTCATGAACCACAGATGTTTTAGAGATAGTACTGCAGTTGAAAAACTAAACTTTAGTGATAGGATAAAATGTCAATATTAGTTTTAGGTGCATAAGTCTTTTTCTGTGTTTTTAACAAAAATGTTGTCCCCATTTCTCTCATAAAAGAAATTACACATTCCTAAGAAATAAATTCTTCCAAAGAAAATACATCTTTTTGAAAATTTAGAGGTAAACTCTAAAAACAAGTGCTTTGGGAGGGTTATGGGGTAGTCCTGTGTTATGCCTGTGGTCTTGGTGTAATTACTAATACAGCACTGGCTTTAATTCTCAGAAGTATCTCAATTTGAACAATAAATTGTAGGTTCACCCTAGCTTTAGTTTGTCTCTCCTTTAGCATTAATACAACCACCTGTTCACTTGAACAGCCTCAATATTTAGCCACACCATCCCATGAAAAATTATTCCTAATAATAATGCTCCTCCCTCTCCTTCTCTCCCAGACTGCAAAAATGAACAAAAAGATCGTTGCACTGCTCCCATTATGACTACCTTAAACTAAAATAGACTCCTAATACCCTTTCCTCATCACGGTAGACTCCCATCTAGTTAACAAAGGCTATCAAAAGAACATAATCACTCCCATATCACACAACCTTTGATTCTTGCATAAAAAAATTAAAAGAGAGGAAAGAAACAGTCTACATTTTCAAGAACAACACTCCTCATTAATAAATATGTAACTTCAAATCTTTCTAACTTTCCTACTTGTTTGATATTGGACATCATAAAGAATCAGTATATTTTGCAGGTGAAAAAATCTACTCCTCTTCCTGATGAGTGAGGAATCTGAGGCAACAGAATGATAAGGTTATCCCAGAGAAGTCACCTTTCAAGGAAACCAGTTCTAGAATTAGGATCACACTAGCATCCCAAGCAAGGGCTAGACTTTTTTCAAATCTTTGCAAAGGGTCTGTGTCTACCAGGTCATGGAGAATAGATTTTTTTTTTCTAAAAAGCATGACAGGTTGTGGAGAAAAATTACTGTCAACAATGTTTGTCTATAACTCTGGCAAAACCAAGATGAAGTCAAAGATACTGAGGGCTAAATGGAGAGCCCTAGAAGCCTGTGTCATGCTCGAGGCCTCCATGCATGTAAACAGAAAAATGTAAACAGAAGGTTTACATAAATGGACTTTACTTTTAAGTCAATGGGAGGCACAAGGTAAGAATAAAAGCTAACCACTTCTCAAATGGTAGCATTAAAAGAAAAAAAAAAGTAAGTACATTATTCCACATAACTGATAATAACATATTTGCTCTTACAAATCAAGAGGCAAATATCCTGCAATAGATATGTCAATGTGGCTGGCAATGTCTGACATCAGTGCATAGCCTCACAAACCCAGCACTACAGTAGTGAGACTGCAACTACCTCCTATATGACAGTCATAAAGCATCGTCCTCCACCACAAACTCAACTCATGAAAGAGATCAAGAAATATTACTCTATTATCTTACCTTTAATAAACTAAATCTAAGCTACACCTCAAATAACTCTATTTTAAAAAACCTACCCCCACCTGTCCCCTATCTTTCTTTCTTTTTTTTTTTTTTTTTTTTTTAGTATTTATTCTTAAGGGATTGGGGTTGTGGCTCAGTGGTAGAAGCACTCGCCTAGCATAGGCAAGGCCCTGGGTTTGATCCTCAGCACCACATAAAAATAAATTAATTAATGATATGGTATCCAACTACAACTAAAAAATAAATATTTTAAAAATATATTCATTCTTAAGTTTTCGGTGGACGCATATCTTTATTTAACATTTACATGATGCTGAGGATCAAACCCAGTGCCTCGTGCATGCTAGGCAAGCACTCTACCACTGAGCCACAACCCCAGTGCCCCCCATCTTTCTTTTTAATTCCATTATCTTCTTGAAAAAAAACTAGTTACAGAAATCCAAAAGCTAAAATATATGTATGAAAATTTCCATATAAATTCAAGTATGGCTTAATAAAGGAATCAAACTAAAGAGTAAACATTCTTGAATTAAAGTGATTAAAAGTACAAATATTGCTTTGGTTTAGACTCATTTTACTAGAAAACATATCAAAAAGATTGAAACTACCTTAGTCTTATTCTTTTTAGGCAATTAAAATAAGTAAACTTTTTAAAGCCAGACTTGAAATTGTCTAAAAGTAAGATACTGCTAAATAAACTTTAGTAAAGCATTCTTATATCACAAATTATACTGTCTAGTATATAAGAACACCTTACTAAACCCTAAACTACACAATATACCATTTCATCAAATTTAAGATGCCATTAATTTGAGGATGAATCACTATTTTATAAACCACTAAGAAAAAAACTTCTAATTAAATGTGAGATACTAACAACCCAATACCAACACACCCAATATCAGAGACAATTAAATATAAAAATATATATATAAAAAAATCAGTAAAATCCCCTCAAATTCCTAAATACATCTATTTTTTACAATATAGATATAATTTACAGTCTTCTACAAGAAAAACCTCTAAATGCAAAAAAAAAAAAAAAAATTAAAGTCTCTTACCTTCTGTACTATACTCAGGAAAGGTATCAGTGAGGGAGTCTGAGTGAGCTTCAGCAGGACCAATTAATTCAGAACCATCATTAATTATTCCACCCTAAAAAGATCAGAGTAATTGTTTTCTTGTCATTAAGAACATTTTAAAATGGTAGTATATATTAGTTATTTTGACTGAGTATATATAAGAAATATAGGAGCTATTAATCTATTAAACTAGTTCACAATTACATTCCAAGAATCACTAAGTATATCAATATTGGTTCATCAATTATATAAATGTACCACACCAATGCAAGTTGTTAATAATAGAAAAACCTGAGGTGTGAAAATGCACAAGAAGAAAAAACTCACCAGCTTAAGAATATTTTTTCTTAAGGACCGGTAATTTTAATTAGTGATAAATGATGAAATGCATCAGGAAGTCATTGAATTTTATCAAATTATAAACTACAACATATTACACAACATCTCAAGTGATCTGAGAAGCCATTCAGGTTGAGACTCACATGTAACTTAGGTAAAAGTAAAAAAATTTAAGATATTTCTAGTGAAGAGAGAGTTTTTTAAAGATGTAAAAACAAATATAAGATTGATTTCTCAGTGTGACCATCATTTTAATCAAATATCTAGATTTGCAAATTCAGACCTCAAAAGATATTTTCACTTCCTGGACATGCAACTAGAGAATGCTATGATCAGACAAGAAGTGGTGGCGCAATTCTGTGCTGTGACTTTATGGACCAAAGGCTCCAATCATAGATAAAAGGACTTATGATCCTTAAGACATTATAAATAATTAAAACAGTAATCCTTCTGCTTCTCAACATCCTTCTTTCTGCCTCCCACCAGCAAGTTCTATGTCCCAAACACTACTAACCAAAAGAGTAAATTCCCAGCGAAATACAGACCCCATTAGCTCTCTAGCACAGCAAGAAGAACTGTCTTTATCTAGTTAGAAAAATTTCACCTGACAACAAAATATGTATCCCTTTTAAGTACCCATAGAATATTCTCAAGGACATAGCTAATGCTAGTGAATAAACCAAGTCTCCCTAAATTTGAAAGAACTGAAATCACACAAAATACATTCTCTAATCATAATTAAACAAAATTAGAAACCAACAATAAAAGAAACTTCAGGAAATCCACAAATATTTAGAAATTAAAGAATCAATTTCTAAATGACCAATGGGTCAACAGAGAAATTACACAACAGGATATACAAGGAGCTGAATTTTAAAAATTTTTAAAAAAGAGAAATTTATGGGTTGAGGCTCAAACAGTGCTCAGGGACATTTATTGCTGTAAATCCTATATTAGACAAAGAACATTCTCAAACCAATAACTGAAGTTTTCACTTTAAGGAATTAGATAAACAGCAAAATAATTCCAAAGCAAGTAAAAGGAAGGAAAGTTTAGAGCAAAATTTAACAAAATGAAATAGAAAACAAAATCAATAAACAAAAACTGAATCAAAAGTTGTACCTCTGAAAAGATCAACAAAAACTGCAAATTTTTCGCTAAGATGACCCACAAAAAAAACAGACATGATACAAAATTACCGAAAGGATAATGAAAGAGGAGACATCACTAACACCTATAAAAATCAGAAACATTGCTCTTTTTTTGTGGCAGTGATCAGCTGCTTCAGGATGAAGCTCCATTATTGCCTTCACAGCCACTAGCCGCCAGAAACACATTAACATGGATGATGAGCTCAAACTTTATGCTTTTTATAAGGAAAATATGCCACAGAGGTTGCTGCTCACATTCTGGGATAATAGAAGGGTTATGTGGTCTGTCTCAGTAGTAGAAATGACAAACAAGGTCTCCCCACGAAATAGGGTGTCTTGATCCCCAACTACCTCCATCTGCTATTGAGTAGGGGGCATTTCTGCTATCAACCACAGAGAACTGGAGAAAGCAAGCATAAATCCGGGCATTGTGGATGTCAATGTATTCATTCTCAACTTGGTTAACGATACTGCCAAAGGCTGACAGATACTACAGTGCCTCATCACCTGAGGCACAAAATGAGGAGAATCCCCAAACTATATGATCTCTCTAGAAAAGACAATGTCTGCCAATTATTACCAGGTAGCTGAGCTGACAACCTGGTTCACAAGAGCTGGCTGCACCAATAACCTAGAAGACGACGAAAGAAACATTCAGAAATACCTTTTGCTTTCAGGAAACTGAGACTGCTCTCAACCTTAAGGGTCTGTTGGAAAGAAAAAGAGAGAGCACGCCTGAGACCCTATTTATTGAGGGGAAGACACTTAAGAAAGTTATTCCCAAATGAGGCACAGGGATTGAGTTTCAGGGGGTGCAGCCCAGTCTCACTGGGTGACACCCACTCCCAGAGCTTCATTCTCCTACTGAGCAGAGGTGAGATCCACCTGTTTCCTGGAGCAGCTGAAACCATTCTCACACCTGTCACTCAAGACTAAGGGTCCATGCTCACTTCTGTGTTGCAGCTCCTGACAGCCAATAGTTTTAAGAAAGTCCTTTAATAAAGAAGACAAGCCCCCTAAGATTAAGTATCTTATTCCTCCACATGTCCTGCAGGACAAACACTGGTACATTGCTCTGAAAAACTGGCCCACTAAAGAAAACAGGAAGCTGCACAATATGCTAAACTTTTAGCCAAGAAAATGAAGGCCAAAGAAAAATGCCAGCAACAGACTGAAAAGAAACTCAGGTTGTCCTCTCTGAGAGCTCCTACTTCTAAATTTGAGTTAAGTAAAACAAAAAAATAATAATAAGGCTTTTTAAGAGCAATAAATAAGATCAGACTTTAAAAATTAAAAATGTTTTATGAGAATTCTGTGAACAACTTTATACCAACAAATTATACAATTTTGGTGAAAATTCCTAGAAAGACATGTTACCAATGCTGACACAAAAAGAAGAAAAAAAAAATCAGAACAAAGAATAAGTAAATAAATTAAATTAAAATTAAAAATCTTCCCACAACAATTCTGCTCCTCCCAGGCCTAAGAGAAACAAAATTTTCACAATCCATATAAAAACTATACACTGATATTCGTAATAACATTATTCATAAATAGCCAAAATGTACAGAATCTAAATTTTAACTAGTAAACAAAAACAAACCTAAAGCGGCATATCCATAACCATATGAATGAATATCATACAGGCATAAAAAAAAATAAAATACTACGCTACAACACAGATTAATCTTTAACGCATCATACTAAGTGAATTCCATTCACTACTAGATTCCAAGAATAAGAAGCTGAGTAATAAAAGTAACACAAGAAATACCAGACTTACACCTTGAAAATTAAAAAATGCTACTGAGAGACATTAAAAACATCTGAATAAATGGAGAGTCATTTCATGTTCATGGATTAGAATAGTCAAGATGACAATTCTCCCCAAATTGAACTACAAAGTTAATGTACTTTCAAATTAAATTTTATGAAAATTTTTGTTCATATGAACAAGCTGATGCCAAACTTTTTTATGTAAATTCAACAGGTTCAAAATTTCCATAACAATTTGGGCAAAAAGTAGGCAAACTTATACCATCTGACTTCAAAACCTATAAAGCTATAGTAATCTAAGCAGTATGGTCCTAGCATAAGAATAAGCACAAATTAATAGGACATATCAACAGTCCAAAAATAAGCCATCATATTTACAGTCAATTTATTTTCAATAATAGTGTCAATTCACTGGAGAAAGGAATCTTTTCAATAAATGGTGCCAAGACTATTAGATCTCATGTCCCAAAAGATGAATTTACACTGTTGCTTTAATCCATACATAAAAATTAACTTAAAACAGATCACAGACCTAAACGTAAAACTAAACCATCTAGGGAGGAAATCTTCTAAGCCTTGGGTAAATCAAAAAGCTCTAGAAATGCCAAAAATAGCATAATCCATGAAAAATGGAAAACCTGATAAATTATACTTTATTAAAAACTGGAAGTTTTTATTCTTCAAATAGCACCCATTAAGAAAATGAAAAGACAAAGCCACAGATTCAAAGAAAATATTTACAATCCCATATTGGACAGGGATAATAATACAGTACTGTTCTGAGGATTGTATCCTATATCTAATAGAAGACTTTTATCCAGAATATATTCAGAGCCACTCAATCAAAAACCAAGCATATTTTTAACAGACATTTCACCAAAGAAGTTGTATGAATAAGCACAGGAAAACATTAAACATCGTTACACCATTAGGAAAGCAAAATCAGACAATACCAAGTGTTGGTGAGGTTGTAAGAGAACTGGGACTTCCACACATTGTTGGGAAATATAAATGGTAAGTTAATTCAGGAAACAGTTTGGCTGTTTCTTTAATACATAAACTTAAGATTCAGAAATTCCAGTCCTCACAATCTACCCAAGTAAAATGAAAACATATATCCACACAAAGATATGTAAATAAATGTTCACAGTATCCTAAGTTGTAAGAGCCAAATGCTAGAATAACTTAATGTCCATCAACTTGTCAACAAATAAACAAGATATGGTATAATCCATATACAGGAGTCCCTCCTTACCTACAACTTTGCTTTGCATCTACCATCAAGTGCATATTGAAAACATTTTATGAAAAAAAATCTAGAAATAAACAATTCATAAGTTTTAACAACTTTTATCATAGGATATTGCTATAATTTTTATATTTTACTATTATTGTTGCTAATCATTTATTGCCTAATTCATAAATTGAACTTTATAGGTATAAACAAGAAAAAACATAGCTTATACAGGGTTTGGTACTCCCACAGTTTCAAGCATCCATAAAGCAGCTTGGAACTAATAAGAGGGAAACTACTAACAGAAAACTATCCAGCAATATACAGTGAATAATATACAGAATGACATAGTGATACAAGATATAACATGGATGAAGCTCAAAAACATGCTAAGTGAAAGGAACTAGAACAAAAGACTACTTATCATATGATTCAATGTATCTGAAACACTGAAAAAAGGCAAATCTATAGTCAGAAACAGTGGCTGTGCAGGGCTGGGAATGGGAAAGGGGAACACTGGCAAGAAGACATGGGGAAACTTCTTTGATGTAATGGAAATGATCTAAAACTCAT